TGGTCTTGGCTGGTCTCCTGTAAACCCTGCTAGGTGAGCCACTGTATTTGGGCCACAGTCCCACTTACCAGGCAAACTCAACTAGGTTGAGTTTGAATATAATAGTTGACTATGAACTGTGAAATTAGTGAGGTGCTAGGGGCTGCACTGCAGGTCAGGTTGTGCAGTGGAGGATTCGATGCATTGAGCCAGGTAAGACAGAAGTTTGAGTATTTGTTTTGTTTTTGCTTTTATTTCTGGGTTACATCCAGGAATGCTCAGGATTGATGCTCAGGATTCACAATTGCTTTATGTTCAGGTCTTATTCCTGGCTTTGTGCTCAGGGATCACTCGTGGTTCTGTGCTCAGAGATCACTCCTGCTAACTTGTGGTAGCATATACAGTGGTAGGGATCAAATGGTGCTGGTGGTGTGCAAAGCAAGCACCCTATTCCCTGTACTATTTCTCCTTCCTGAGACAGTTTTAACTGTGTGCAAATGTGTACACCAGATTCTGAGTACTGGCCTCCTAGTTGATGCTCTGACTGGAGAATGGAGGGCATCCTCTCCAGATGGCAGCAGTTCCACTTTTCCAGTCCTGCTGTCAGAGATAAGAAAGCCAGCCACAGTAACTCCTTCCTGGGTCTCTCCTCCACATCTCCTGCATCTAGCCCTTCTCTGACTCTACACCACAGGGTTTCATCACCATGTACTTGCTTCTCCAGGGCCCTACTGCAATCTGCTCTCCTTAGCCAGTAGGGTCCACCATCTTTCAACTCCCCTGAAGGTCTCACAGAAATCCAAACTTGGGTCTGCACCCAACTTCTCTCTCCATCACATTTTCTGAGGGAGCTGATTCTCAGAGCTCCCCTTCATTTGGCAGTTTTGGCCTCTCTTCAGAATTATTTCTTGATTTATTTTACTACTACATTCTTGTAAAAGAAATGAAACAAATTTTTGTGTATTGATTTTGTAACCTGCTATTTGTCATAATAATTAATTGTTAATAATATTTTAGTGAAGTTTTGTAGTTTTATGTCACCTATAAACAATGGAATTTTTATTTCTTTTTAAAATTTTATTTGGAATGGATTCCTCTTATTTACTTTTCTTACCTGGCTCTCGTAGGATTTCAAATTAAACAAGTGGTGAGATTGGATATTCTTGCCTTGTGTCTGATCTTTTTGTTTTTTCACTAGTGAGTATGTGGGTTTGCTACTTTATGGCCTTTATACTGTTGATATATGTTCTTATATTTCCAGTTTAACTAAAAAACGTTGACATAGCAGAATTTATTACCAAAATCAAAAGGCATCATACAGAGTGGGAGAAAATATTTTCACATCATACATCTGACAGTGAGTTAATAGCCAAGATGAATAAATTATCCAATTTAACAACATGACCAAATAACCTAATCCTAAAATGAACAAACTATGTGAATAAACATTTCTCTTAAAGAAGAAACACAGATGATCAATGGGCACTTAAAAATAATTATTAATGAGTATAACAACTAAATCTTAGTGGAATTCAAATAAAATAATGGAGAATGACCTACATCAAAGAATACCACAAACAGTAAGTACTATTGAATAAAAAGAACTCTTCTTTATTGTTGGTGAGAATCTAATTCGGTGGGAATTTAATTCTGTGGGAAACAGATTGCTCCTCAAAATTTTATAATAGCGGGAACATGAGAGACGGTATCATGGACAAGGACTTGCCTTATAAGCGGCTGATGTGGATTCAGTCACCAGCACTACTTATGGACCCTTAAGAACCACAAGAGATCCTTGAACACAGAGGCAACAGTAAGCTTTAAGAACCATTGGCTATGACCCCCAAACCGAAAATAATAATAATTCAACTACCAGGTATACATCTAAAGAGTATAAAATCACTAGTTTGAATATACATATGTACCTCTCTATTCATTGCAGAACTAATAAAAACAGGCAACATATGGAAACAATCTTAGTATCTAATAATAGATGTAGCTAAAGAAGACAAGATATATATTTACACAATAGAATACAACTTAATTTAAAACCAGATTAATTCTTGCCATTTACTAAAGCATGGATGGAAGTTATAGGGATTATGTTAGAGAAAATAAGTCAGAAAGAAAAATATTGGATGATTTAACTCACATGTAAAATGTCAAGAGTCAAAGCAGAGGAATGAAAAGTGATACCAAAACAAACTCTTGAATTCTGACTGTAAAACTGAAATCAGTAGAGGGAGGGTGGACCAGGAACACGGTATGAGAGTATCCAATGTGGAGGGTTATTGGTACTTAAGTGGTGAATAGAGTTTGATAACCAACATTTATCAAACTCTATTATCAAACTCTATCAAGCTCTATTAGGGAACCGTGGATAGAAAAGGTGGTAGAGGATAAGAGTGAGGAGGAATAATTTTGCTAAAAGAATATCTCTACACACAACACTGCTATACTAGAGGATGATTTCTAATAAAATAATATTTGACTGAGCCAGCTTGCCTTCTTGCATAAACTTAATGATGAAAAAATGGCATGATCATCTTGTAAGAAAGTTTAAGTTCGTCCTCATATAAAAGTTTAAGTGTATATGTATATGCACACTGATGTAAGTCAATAGTTAAGTAAGTGTATATCAATTTTTGAGTGCATGTACTATAAAGTACTTTTCCCATTTCTTCTCACCTCATTTCCTTCCTGGATCTGTATCAACAATAATCAGAGGGCAAAAGTGCTCAGATAACTGATTGTTGATTTTACATCTTCATAAAATATATTATTTTAAATAATTTTAATTAAAAATTATTCTTACTTTCACCTCACCCAGCACTGAGATTTGTCCCTTGTATGAAATTACCTTCTTCCCTGTGAATTCGTGTTCTCACTGTGACTAATCTGATTCCCATTACCAGAAATGAGAACAAGTTAGTGAGGGTCTTTGGAAGCAAGTGTTACTTATTTCATGCATTTTATCATTCTCTCTCTGCACACAATATCTAGGATGGGTGGAGTAACATTTCTCTATTGCACTATATGAACTATTGTGCATTTTGTTTTAATCACAATAAATATGAACTGTAAATATTTTCATGTTGATGCATAGTACTGTTCAAGGCACTGACACTTCCTAATTGAAAGTTAGGATGTGTAGTCATGGAGGGCACCAGAGCCAGACCTACAAATGTGGATTCAATTTCTGCTCCCAAGCTCACTTGTTATGTGGCTATTGGAAAGTTATTTTAGCTCTCCGGATGCAATTTCCCAGACAATAAGAAATAGGTAATAATAGGATCTTCCTCCAAGTGTTGCTATGAAGATTTATATATTTAACATAAAGAATTAGTTTTATGAACTATATATTCATGGTATACTATTATTCAACCATTAAGTATTGAGGTTAGTACTGAATTCCTGCTATTCTAAGCAGTGCACATTATATAATACATACATAAATATGTATGCATGTGGGTGTTTCTCCAGATAATATGCCAAGAAGTAGAATATCTTTGTCAAAACTTTATATTTTATAATTAATTTATAGAAATTTAACCGCGTTTAAAATATATTTATCAATATGATATATTTTATAGTATTGGGATCCTATAATTAGTATCATTAGATAATTATGATAGATCAGATCATAATTATGATACTTTAAAGATCTTATTCTATCAATTTAGTTTCCATAGATGTACATTATACAGAATGGTACATAGATGTTTGAAATATTTCTTCAGTTTAGCTTTTGTTACATTTTGATGATATTTGATTGTCACTAATACTTGTAGTAAAAATTTATCTGATTCTTCATTTGATCAGGTTTTTACCTGATTTTGTAGATTATTTGATTTGTCCTACTTGACTACAGTGAGAGTCACTTAACCATAAATTCTTATTTGGTCTCCGGGATAAAAAGAAAGGTGGGACTTAGTGGAAGGACAATGGACATCTGTTTAGTTCTGTGTGGGCACATATCAATGATCTATGATAATGGTAACATGGTAATGGTCCTCCCATTGTTCATGGATTTGCTCTAGTGGGCCCAGTAACGTCTCCATTGTGACACTTGTTACTGTGTTTGGCATATTGAATACATCATGGATAGCTTGCCAGGCTCTGCCGTGCGGGCGAGATACTCTCGGTAGCTTGCCGGGCTCTCCGAGAGGGGCGGAAGAATCGAACTCGGGTTGGCCATATTGGCTGTGTGCAAGGCAAACGCCCTACCACTGTGCTGTTGCTCCTTATTCCTAGGGTGAAACTCTATCTTAAAATTCGGCATTTCTACTATGCAGAAGGAATGATATCTATTCATGGCACTGGTTTTTAATGGGGGAGGACAGTGAGTATACTATAATTATTAGGAATCACCCTGTCACTTTCATAGAGTACTTCATTCTCTGGTTATTTGTACTTTCCATTAAAGAAGTGCACTGAGTATGTTTCACATTGTTGATCATCTTTGGATCTTGGTCTGTGAGGTCTCACCATTCCTTCTTATTTACTTCCCTTTCTCCTTTACGGATTTCTTTTTGTCTTAATTTCCAGTATGCCTATGAATTATTTTTATCATTTTGGTGGTAAAGAGGAGAAAAAATACTCTCTACAAAATGAACAAGAGGCAGTAGGATTGTTCAGTCCTAGAGATTAAATATTTGTATCAGTCTTGCTCTAAAGGGGAAAGCTTGAGATCATAGAATTCAAGTGAATGATCACAAAGTGGGTCATCATAATCCATATTATTTTATGGCTATCCCTGAGGAACATCGGAATTTTACCAAGCAGCCAAGTTTTCTTTTCTGTATATATATATATATATATATATATATATATATATATACAATATATATATATACATATACATATATATATATATTTGAAAATTGGAACCACAGTTAGAAAAGGTAATGCGGAATAAGAGTGAAGAGGAAGAAACTTACTAAAAGAAATTTATTAAAAACATCGCTAGTCATACCGAAGGATGACTCCTAATGGAGTAACATTTGATTGAGCCAGCTTACCTCCTTGCAGGAACTTCATGGGGTAGACAATGGCATGGTATCTGTCTATGCTGAGAGACACTAGGACATATGTAGAGGCATAGAGTAGCACAACCTGAAAATAGAAATGAAAGACAGTGATTTGCATCACAGAAACAGCGTCAAAGAATTACCTAATGGAAGGAAAAGTGTTATTTAGGAGTTAGGCAAAGGGATGATGTCTCTCCAAGGCAGGAAGTAGGGTGCTGTCCTTGGTTCTGAAATTTTAATTGCTTGCAGTGACAACTGGAAAAGCCTGAAACTCTGGTTCACTTGACTTCTTGGAAACTCTGCATTTTAGGACCAGTCCTTCTTGACATTTGCATGGTACATTTGCTTGCAATTGACTTTTAAAACTAAACTAATTTTCTCTGCCTCAATTGATATTCCAGGATAATTAGAAACAAAAGTTCAGTTGAATTGTTGAGAGATGATAGAAAGGTTCTGGCTTCAGGGGACTAATGTATTATTTTGAGTCATTTATCATCATCTAAGCTGTCACCACTATAGCTCACTTTCCCCACCCACTTCTCTAGTAGAATTGTCTTTGAGAGTTAGTGCTGGGGTCTCTTTTTACTTCTTTCCACCCTATCATTTATTTACCTTACTCATAACCATTAATTATCCTGTTCTATTTTAATAATTCTGCAAAGAAGGAAATAGTGGTTGAACAGTTAAATATATATTCTGTGAATCAGATGCTCAAAATTCAATAAAATGGAATCTCTCTCCCTCTTTCTCTCTCAGAAATGTTGGAGACTGTATCCAGGTTTCTGACATGCAAGTTATCTGTATCTATTTTACCACTGAATTACAATACCAGATCCTATAAATGAAATATTTCTTCATGAATTATCAAGGTGGAAATTTTCAATAACTTTGAGCCTTATAGATAAACCCTATATTTGCTTTATAAACTTTGGGTCAGTTGAGAGTAATCCAAAATCTGATGTTTAATGATGCTTAAAAAAACTTTCTTCTAAAACTAGTTCAAGTCACATGGTTTTGAAAATAATTTTGTCTGAATTTGCTCATTTTAGTTTTTCCCTGGCCCTGCCTGACAAATAAAAATCGACCAATCAGATACATTGCTGTTTTCTATGATTTATTTCCTGTTAACACTACCCCAAATGCACCCGTACTCAAATGTTGCAAAAGGTGTCACAGGGAGGGGGACTTGGTTACTGATAAAACTGAGGGCTTTCCTAAAGAGTGCAAGGAGACATTATCTGCTTGCTAAATATATGACAAATGTGCAGAGATAAAAATCATGACTAAATTTAGTAATAAAAAAAATCACACAATTGTCAGAAAACTTTTGCTACATTTGAACTGTGAGTTCAAACTTCCTAAGGCTGACACACACACAGCTGAGGTAAAGAACACCAGAAAAGGTTGAAAAAGAGAGTCCCAAGGGCAAATCCCTAGGGGGTGATACTTCATGGCGAGAAGGTGGCAAGAATCTGGGTCATCTGTAGCTGGGCTGAAAGAAGCAACTAACACAAGTTCAGAATCTGGAGCAGGAGGAGTGGATTCAGTAAAAAGAATCACAGAGGAGAAAACAACTTTAATACAAAGATATATAACTTAAAACATAATAAAAAAGAACACACTATTTCTGAGGCCTTCAAACATGGGTATGGTGAAAAAAAATTTAGTTCACCTCAAATAAATCAATCTCAAATTGTGATGCCTTTTCTTCAGAGAAATAATTGCTGGAAAACATAAAAGCATGTTCGTAGTTTTGAAGGAAAATGTATAGTCCAAGAATTTTTATAAATATCATTTCTAAAACAAGGCTCAGAATAACTTTAGTAGATATATAAGAAAGTCTTCCTAAAGACTTTCTGGGGGGCTGGAGTGATAGAACAGCAGGTAGGGCATTTGCCTTGCATGCGGCTGACCCAGGTTCGATTCCCAGCATCCCATATGGTCCCCTGAGCACCGCCAGGGATAAGTTCTGAGTACAGAGCCAGGAGTGACCCCTGTGCATCGCCAGGTGTGACCAAAAAAAGCAAAAAAAAAAAGTCTATCTAGAAATTGTCTGCCATGGAGGCAGTGGTAGGGTGGGAAAGCGGTGTATACTGGGGATAGTGGTGGAGGGGAATGTGCACTGGTAATGGGTGTTTGATCATTGTGTGGTTGTAACCCAAACATGAAAGATTTAACTTTCTCACAGTGATTCAGTTAAAAAATATTTAAAGAAAGTCTATCCAGCTAAAATAATTCTGCTGATTGAGAATTGTTTTTACAATTAGAATTTAAGAAGAAGGAAGGGATAGAATGATAACAGCTAGGAAAAGTAATTAAACAGAAAACCACTGAATGTCCACAAAAAACAATTGTAAATGTAAAGTGTGGCAGGAAAATATATGGGGAATCTGGTAAGAGGAGAGAGTTAAAGAAGAAAATGTTGCTAGATATTTTTGTAAGTATTTTAAAAATTTACTTTAATAAAGTTATATTAAAACTAAAAAAAAACTAAAAACTAAAATTATGAAAGGAACAAATAAAAATGGAGGAAAACATTTTGCATTCATTTCTGTTGGCTCCTGTAACAGATTACCACAAACTTTGTGGTTTACTGAAACATAAGTGAACTTTCTCTCCCATAATTTAGAAGATTAGAAGTTTATGTCCACTATGTCAAAAGATTTTGTTAGCAGTGTTACAATTCCATGAAAAACTAGAAAAATAAAAGTCCAATTGCCTCTTCTGGTTTTAGGAAGTTGCCATCTTTCCTTGATGTTCTTATAGCCATTTCTCTTCCATCCGCCCGCACGGCAGAGCCTGGCAAGCTCCCCTGACGAATTCGATATGCCAAACACAGTAACAACAAAAGTCTCCAATGGAGACGTTACTGGGCCCGCTCGAGCAAATCGATGATCAACGGGAGGGCCTCTGAGTCTATGGTTACAGTCCTGCCCCGTCTTTTATCTGCACACCAACTTTCCATCAGCCTCCCTCATGTGGGCTGGAGCGATAGCACAGCAGGTAGGGCGTTTGCCTTGCACGTGGCTGACCTGGGTTCGAGTCCTCCTTTTCTCTCAAAGAGCCCGGCCAGCTACTGACAGCATCCCGTCCGCACGGCAGAGCCTGGGAAGCTACCCGTGGCATATTTGATATGCCAACAACAGTAACAAGTCTCACAATGGAGACGTTACTGGTGCCTGCCAGAGCAAATCGATGAACAAGGGGAGGACAGTGCTACAGTGCAGTGCATGTATATATACATCATTATGTATATATATGTATATATATATATATATATATAAAATGAAATTTAGATCCACCAGGATAATTCAGAATAAAGTCTCCAATTTCAAGAACATTAATCAAAATTGCTAAATCTACATTTTTAGCCATATAAGGTATATAGGTTTTGGAATCAGAATTTGGATCTATTTGGAAGAAATTTTTCAACCTATCACAATTAATGGAAAAGGAATGGAAAAAGAAAAATAACACAAAAATTAATATTAGGTGACTAGATTAATACCAGAAACTATTTGCCACAATAAATATGAATGGCATAACTCCCTGCTTAAAAAAAGTCTTAAGCTCCTGGATAAAATAAAAGCTATTTACAAAAATTTTCCTGGTTGTATACTGATTACAAACATTTAAAACCAAATGATAACTAAAATTCATAAAGATATGGATGACTGAAAATGTGCCAAGCAATAAAAAAAGTACAAGAAGGCATTTGTTACAAGTGGAATCCACTATATGGGACAAAGGAAGTACTTATGATGATAAAATATACAAGACCAAATCAGTGAATCTACAAAGATATGACACAATAAAAATAAAGATATATACAGTGTTTTATATATAGTTCAAAATTTACAGAATAAAATTCAATTACAACTAGATTTAAAATAAACTTTAAAAAATCATATGCGTTATTGTAAAATGGACATGTCAAAAATTGATGATATACTTAACTACCAAGAAATCTTAAAATATTCTCCAAAGTGAAATTTATGCAATTCACATATTTTAAACAACAAGCAATAGAAGCTGAAATTAGTATAATGTTTTTTTTAAAAAATATATATCACTTGGAAATTTAAACACACTTGTAATTAACTTCAGTGGAGAAGGAAATCAAAGTACAATTATAGTCAATTCATAAATGTCAACAATGAAAATTCTACATATAAACAACATATGGGAAGCCATTTGGAGAACAGATGGCAACTTGAGGACATATGTCTGAATTCTCACTACCCCACCTCTAAATTCTGACAAAAATGACCTAGGAAATGTGAAACCAAAGAAAATATTTCGAAGCATGAGGTTTAGTTAAACTCAGGAAACTCAAAGAATTTTTATTTAGAAAAAAATCAGTTTGGATTCTTTTAAAGGAGGATAACTTGACTTACTTTTTAAAAATAATTCAATTATTTTTAGAAGAATTTTAGATTTACAGACAAAAACTAGAAGAGAGTTCTTTTTCTATTTTTACCTTACTGCTATTTCCTTCTTGTAGACATCTTACTTTACTATGATCCACGGTCAAAATTGATGACCCAACAATGACATATGATAACTAAAGTACATGGTTAATTCTCCATGTTGCATAGTCTATGTTTTTGACAATTGCATAATGTCTGTCCACTACTATAGTATCATATAGAAAAGTTGCTCCGCCCCAAAATCTCTTTACGTTAATATTCATAATCCAAATTCTTGGTGAAACTACTTTTTCTTTTTTTTTTTAAATAAATGGGTTTTATTTGGAGGGTTTTTTTAAGGTGTGTAGGGGGAGAGACTGAGAGAGAGAGAAAGAGAGTAACATACTCCAAGGGCGGAGAGAGCCTCTACACACATCCCAGCATTAGACACAAAAGCATGAAAGTACATATCTCAAGAGGGGAGATATGGGTGACACATGTGCTCAGCCGTCACATGTGCTCGGCCGTGTGGGCGCAAGCAGCACATGGGCTCGGTTGGGCAGCATATGCGTCCACGTTTTCTTTTAAACCTAAAGAGTTTTACCTTTTCTAGAATGTCATATAGTTGGAATCATACAATATTGTAGTCTTTTTAGTATTGCATCCTTCATTTAGA